ACGACTTCAGTTCTTGCACGAGCTGTATTTTTTATGCTATCAATTTTAGAAGCCTACGTAAAATTCACCAAGTCGTTCCATACATCAGTCGGAGTTGCTGCAAATAGCGCCGAATCGACTCTCCACAGTCTTCGTGTACACTTTCAGTTCCGGCCTCTATATTTTCTGCACTGCGTGCTGGACGTCGTCTATTCGGTCGAATATTATCCAATAATGGATGCCGGGTCTCAAGATGGGTGATGGTGTTGCGATTAATAAATTCAGTAGGCCGATTATGTTGGTCATAAGTTGAGCGAAGCGCGCGAAACACATTGTTTAGAGAACGCGAATTTTCGTAACAAAGTTCAATGATTTGTGAGCGTTGTTCAGGAGTCAGTCTTTTAACGATGAGATGCCAAACTAAACTCGACAAAAGGCAAAGGAAGCAACTCACGCGTGATCTTTTGAAGAAAGTACCTCTACTTGTATCACCCAATATGACGCTAATAATATCTAAAAATTTACCTTTAACTTAAATATAAACAACTTTATTTGAAAAGAATTTGATTATAAAAAATCACTTATTGTCCAAAAAAAATTAATTAATTTAAAATTAATTATTATTTAATCATGGAATTGATATAATTGGCGATAATTTAAGAAAAAACTAAAGAGAATAGCAAATATAATTTAAATTCAATAAATAAACGAATTAGCCGACCTCGTCCTCAATAGATCGAATTCTTAAATTTGAGTCGATCAATCAGTGGCAGAAGCTTTTTTTTTTAAGTAAAAGGCAAAGTGATCAACTTGTTAGCCACTAAATATTTGAAAAATACATGGGCGCATATCGACACATACATACATACATATACGAGTATATCTCTAAGTGTTAGCTTAACTCGCACGTTGTTTTCTAATAAAAAATTTGCTACGAAACAACAAAGTATCTACCAAAACACGTCTTAACTGACTCGAGTTATCTTGGATCTTACAACAACAAAAAACCGTAATTAGGGTCAAATTACCGAACCTGCGAACTAACTCACTTAGCACTATTGATAGCCAATAACAAAAAAGCCATAAGCACACAAAAGTTGTAATGACTGAAATATATGTACATATATACGTATATATATACACAAACATACGAGTATTTATATTGACTGGAAATCAAGCGGTGAAGTCTCACTTAACTTTCATATGCTCACTGTGGGTAGTTGGTGCAAACGCGCCGCAGCAAATTCGCCCATCAAAGCCAACCTATATGTGATCAAAAATATTTAAAGAAACATAGTCAAAACGGAATTTTTTTTTTTAATATTAAAAAACAAATTTCTTTCTTTCGTTTTTACTTGCCTTGCGCTCAACGTTTGTCGCCGCCTCACCAAAAGTTTGATTTTTGCGGTGCGAATCGCTTCAACCAAATTGCATACTACCGTACTGGCATGCAAACACACATATATACGCAACATAGCATTGCTTGTGGTTGTACACAGACTGAGTTGCAAGTGAAAGTAAATTTTTGAGTAACCAAAAGGCGCTGACCAAATCTGGCGGCAACAGAAACGATCGGTTTGGTTGATGAAACGTAGCATTGGTGACTGTATAGTGTGTGTATGTATATATGTATGGTTGTGCTTCCATTTAACGCCACCGAAACTGGCTGGAGTTGCGAAAAAAGGCGAAAAAGGCAAATTTAATTGCAAATTATTATTTTTTTTTTTTGATTGCATTGGCAATCGAGCGGACTATCGCTGCCACATAGAATCAGCAGAAGTTTTAAGAAAAGGTGCAATACTCAATAAGTAAGAAAATTACTAATGAAAAATAATTAAACGAAGAAAATTATATGTTTTAATTGATTTTAAAATATTTCTGATTTACCTAATAGTGATTTAAATGTATAAATAAAACCAATCCAAAAAGCTCTGCAAACTTGTTGGCTTTGGTGACTTAAACACGATAAGACATGTCTGTCATAAGAGGCGACTAAAATCGAATAATACGGGTCTTTGTACCGAAACGACCGGCGTTTTTAGCCGACCAAGAGCTGCGACTCCCGCGACGTTCACCAAAGACTTTTTAATATCGAACGGCTTGAAGAGGTCTCTCCGAACTCTAACTGAGTTTTCGGTATAGTTCAGCGTCAGCTTGCACAGTCGAATAGGTTTTGAGAGGGTTCGAAATTCAGACAAACCGTAGTAGAGGCTGCTTTCTTTCGCATAATTTAAAGCAGACTTAAAATCAATAGACTAATAGGTAAGGGTCAAACCTCACATTTTACATCGAGGAAATTTATCCTATGATAATTGGTGCAAGATGTTGGTTTCCTTTTTCTGTGGATGGGATAGAGCATAATTAGATGCCAAACATCAGACCTGCTTTCATTCAACGTATATTTCACAAAAAGCTGCTACACGAGCTTCGCCATTTCTTCACCACCATATTTAAACAGTTCATGTGGAGGCGAATAGCTCCTAGTGCTTGTTGGACTTCATCATTTACGGTTGATGTAACGACTACATTATCCTTCCCATTTGGATTCTCGTATACCGCATTTCTAGCTTTCTAAATCCCCTTCTGGGTTCCGATATAATCATACAGTGCGTCGGGGTTCTTTCTTAAATGCCAGCGTCTTTTTCTCAAAGCCAACAAGTAATTTTCTTATCTAGTTTTTTTCCAGCACATATATGTATGCATTCTCTTATATTTTTACTGAAATTACTGAAATAAAAGTATAAACAAATTATTAAAATTAGGTAATCGCTGTAATATCGCTTTGTTTACCGTTATATTATCTCACACATTCTCAGCAATTGGTTGTGCAACCGTTTTTCCATGGGAAAAGTCACCTTTCTTACACAATGTCCGCTGTATAGAATTTATGCAATCAATTACATATATATAAATACACGTGTATATTAACACAAAAAATCCATTGCTGGTCATTTAATGATTTGCACGCATGTCTCCAAATTAACCACAATGCGCTTTTGATGCGATTTTGATGCGACCAGCGAGTGTTCAGCTAAACAGTGTTTATGTTACAGGTTTGTTGCTTAAGTCTTTTGTTTTCACAAAGACATTTTTTTTTACATTTAACAGCAAATAAAAATAAATTTTATTAATTTGACGTACATAACTCTTTGCGCTAAGTTTATGTTTATTATCCACGACTACTTGTGCAATGGCAAGCCATGAATTCTGCCATGACGTAATGCTGAGTGCGCAATTTGCACAATTTTTTTCTTGCATAACAAATAAATCTCGGTAAACAGTTGGGCAGACAGACAAATAGACAATTCTAGGTGGATTTGTGGCAAGGCACCTGTTGGCGATTTACAGCTTGATTTACTTTATTCTTATTATTCTTTTACTTGTCATGCCATGCCATTTGAAATGCCAACTCTTGGACTATTTGACATTTTTCGCATATTTTCGCTAGCTATTTTTTACGCTCACAGCAACATGTGGCTGTCATGCATTGTTTATTGCGCCGAAAATTATTATTGCTGTTTCAAAACAGCTTTTCATGAATTTCATATCTCCGACCGCAGCAGCGTCAGCTTATGTAATTGCTCGCTTAGCCACTTTGTATTTATTCATACTTTTTTATTTATACTTTTCTGATTCTATACACTATAATTCACTTTTATTTTCTTCATTTAAGTGAAACATTCTTGTCGACCTGCCGCTATGGTATTTATTTATGCTTTGCCGGGAACCGGTTGCTTGCTGCGTTCGTGATATTCTGTTTTAAGGAGAACCACTTTGCTCAAACTTGTTGTTGTACATTGAAAATGTTGATTTTTGCAAGTTTTTCAGCTCTTAGGTATTTCTTATACTTATGAGGGCGCAGTCAAACGCTGCTATTATTATTATTATTTTCATAGTTATTATGTTGCGCGACAGTTGGGCGAAGACTTGAACGACTTCTTAATAAGCATTGTAGAGTTATTACAAATACAATAGATGTGCGATTGTTAAGCATGGATAAATAGAATATAAATATGTACATATTTATGTACTGAAGTTTCATTGTTATTTTTAACTTCCCGCAAAACTGTTTCAAAACGTGTTACTTTCACTGCCAACCACCATAAGGCAGACAGCAATAAAAAGCGCAAAAAACAATAATTCGTTTTTAGAAGATCATTTTGTGACGAATTAAATGTAATGGACAAAATGATAATTTATTACTGCTAATCCAATTACTGACTTATACTCAGCATTGCCATTTCAATTTTAACCCACTCTATCAGCTTGGCCACAAACTGATTTATTCCACCACCGATTGCTCCACATTCAGTGCCATTTTGTATGTCTTTGCTGTGGCAAATTAGTTGCGCCATTGTGTCTCTTTGAATTGAAATTTGATTCATATGGTTTTGATTTCTTTATCTTACGTTTGCCTTGAGCGCTAGTCGATATTAGTAATTTGCTATACTCATTTATTTTTCTATTTTTAATTCGTATGAGCAACAAGTGTGGCATTCCGTGCAGATATTGATATTATTTATGAAAACAAGTTCCACAGAAGAATTGTCAATAAGTTTCCATTATATTTGATTAATGATTATTAAAACGGGGCTTGCAATAAGTTCATGGCTTGAAAAATTTTGCACGGTGATAGAATTAAAAGCGAAAAATCTAAATATATGATGGAATTTTGAAAGTTGATTACGTAAGAGGAATTCTTATATTTTTTCGAAATCTATAGAAAAATTTGGTACTAAATGAGAGAGAGAAGCTTTTTCCTAAGTAGAGAAGAACTTGGCTTCACCAGCTAGCTTTTCAGAGCAGATTTAAAGAAAATTTACTATACAGATTAATACGTAGAAGATAATAATGAAATGGTTTACATATCTATTTCGCGCTATGAAAAAATCCATTATTCATAGTTGCTACTTTGCAGGATTAAGAAAATGTTTGTTGTCACTTTCTATGTTAATAATTCATCGACGTTTTTTTTTTCATTTTCGTTCACATAAATTTTTGTAAAATCACCATTTTTTCAGGCAAAAATCTATCACACTTCTGATTTCTTGATAGCATATCAGCCAAAGCAAGGCATTTTCTTAAGGTAAATAAAAATGTTGATCATTCGTGCTTTGAAAAAATTCAAATTATGTGCATACACGTGTATGTACGAGTATGTAACTACAAAAACATGCTGCAGCAAAACGATTAAAAAATTAAAATTTCTCTCTAATCACATCTCATAAGAGCATCACAAAAATATTTCCAATTTCTAATAATTTGTATTTTTGCTTTAAAATCTCTACTTACAGACGCTTGAGGCATTCATCATCGACAATCAACAATACACATGAAAATACCGCGCGCTTAAACTCCACCGGAAACAGCATAAATGAGTAATTAACGGTAGACAAACGAGCGACCAGGCACAGCAACAACATTAACGCACATATATAGACAAAAGCATAACAGTAGCAACAAAATGGAAGGCATAAATGCCGACAGTAGCAATTTCAATGGTATGTCCAAGATTAACAAAACTCTCGACGACAGCCACGCAAATATGAACATGCAAATCAACAGCAACAACATGAGCAGTGACGACATGATTCGGCAATCCGAATCGCCTGCACGCACAATCGATTCGCACGACTCTACTGTCGACAGCATGGACACGATTGTTGATCGCAGCATGAATCGCGAGGAGCTCATGCACGCCGCCATCGAGCAGAGCATGAATACGACAAATGCCCAACATGACAGTCTCACAAATTCACAAAAGTCTATATTACAACAAAATAGCAGTGATACTGATGAGCGGCAACACCAACAACGGCAACAGTTGCAGCAACAAAAGCAAGCAGATACACAAAGTCACATCTACTCAAGTCCTGTTTACGATCAGAAACCGCCACTAAAATTAACAGCGGCTACATTGGTCGCTTCAGTGACAGCCAACAGCACAGATAATGGCAATCGTGTTGGTGATGTCGATGACACCAAGAAGCCGCAATTGATGACACACGAGCAATTCCAACAGCAGCTGCAGGCGGCCATCACTTCGCGCGCAAATACACTCGATTCACGTATTAGCAAGAAACAGCGTTTTCCACCCGAATTGATTAAAATCAAAGACTGCGATGGTAGCTCATCGAATTCGGCGAAAGCGGCGAAATATCAAAGGCGCGCCAAATCTAGCGCCGACTGTTGTTCAGCGTTTCCATGGCAAATCGTTTTGGGCACATTACAGCTGATGTTGGCCATCACATTGGTGGCGCTTGGTTCGCTTTTGATTGTACGTGAAGCAGCCCTCTCCACTGCTGGCTGTGGTATTTGGACTGGCCTGGTGGCGGCGATTACAGGTTCATTAGGTGTGGTTAGTATACGCAAGACACAGACAGCCTTCTTGGCCTTAAGTTTAGTTTGCATTGCTACGAGTACACTAGCGTTAGCCGTTTCCGGTGTAGGCCTTTCAAGGGATGTGAATCGCATCGAAGAAAAGGTAGGATTGTATTTTTGGCAATGTTTTCAGCACAAATTATAAGCTTCTTATTTTCTTATTATAAAACAGTTTGACTTATTGAATGCAAACAGTGAAATATCTGCTGCTTCCGGTCTAATTTTGACGCTGTTCTTGCACTTTGTTGTTAGCATTGTTTCGGTATACAGATGTGCGTTGCAGATATGCTCAAGGTAAGTAAACGCTCTCTTATATATTTCTAAAACACAGTTTTGAAAATAAAACTACGGAAATTTAAAGCAAAGCTTTGAAACAAGCAAATATTGTATATCCGGTTGACGACCCTGCTTTTGTTTGACGTTTCACGTGATCTATTACAATGCAGTTTGTGGCTGCCACGTTTTTCATACAAAAAATTACCAAAACAATAGGGATTTTTCCACAGCTCGTTCAATTGAAAACAGTTACTAAAAATTTCGTATACAGTGCGCCTGGTTTAATTTTATCAGTCAGTCATTTGTCAATAGTAGGCCCTAGAGCACGATTTCCATAGTACATAAGAGCGGCAGCCAACACCATAGCATATTCAGTTGTTTTCTGGATCCGGTAGTAACCACATAAGTATAGAGCAGAGCGGAGTCCGTTGCAGACGAAGAGCTCGATCTGCGTAAAGAGACCCAAGTGAGAAGAGAATTTAAATCTGGACTCTGTTGTCCTACTTATCCAGACGTATACTGAGTGCAATGAGACTCCGCACGACAGTAATCAGCCCTTTGCATGCGTCTTATATATACAAATATAAATCTCTTCTCGGTCTATGTTTCTGTTCTCTGTTCTATATGCCAATTTCGTTAGACTCCATTTCTCACCAATTCCTCAATTGTTAAGCATTTTTTCAAATATGGCAACACTCCCTTCATCGAACTGTCAAGCGCTGACGAATCAGTGCAAATTGGACAATAAGCTAGAAACAGCGAAGTGAAGTGAAAAATTTTATTTTATGCATGAAATTTTATAAAAATTCATGTAAAATGTGGAAACAGAGTGTGTAGTTCCATTTATTAGTATGTAAGCAACGAGTCGGTGTGTTTTGTGCGTTTTTCGAATGCTTTAGATACGTGTGCGACAACAATTTTTTTTGTGTACAAATAAACAAAACGACCTGTGAAAATATCGCCCACGCCTTCCTTCCGCTAACCACGGTCGCAGTCACAGTCAACGTTCCATCGCACAAGTCTCATTTGGCAATTAGCAGCCGCACTGTGTGCAGTGAAAGTAGTGGAAATATTGAAAGTTACAAAAATCATAACACAATTCAATTGGATCACGGCGACTTCAAACACGCCTACGTCTTCGGAAGTCATCAGCGTCATCGGCGCAATGCCACTGGCCGATTTGAACAAAGATTTACGGCAACAGCATCAGTTAGGCGTTGGTATTGCTGTCGGAAACAATGCCCACCCAGTGGACAATGCTAATGGCGCTATGGGTAATCAGCACCAGCTGCGTCAGCGTATGCAGATCACTTCGTCGGGTTGTAGTAGTTTGGCCGTGACACCAATGGAGCACACACCCACAGACGAAGAAAGTGGTGGTGTGACCACTGTGACGTCATCTCTTCGCAGAAAACAAGCACAACAACAGCAGCAACAACATTTGCAACAGGTGCAACAAACAGCATTACAGGCAGCATTAGAACAACATCACATCAGCTCGGTGACTGCAGATACCACGGAATTGATGGATTTAAGTGATTCTGAAGGTTATGCACCAGCTGACGGAACAGATGGTGAGTTGCGCGAAAATGAGTTTGAACTACGCGAAGTAGTGAAAGAAGGTCATGACAAAGCCGACCCGTCGCAATTCGAACTGCTGCGTGTACTAGGCGAAGGCAGCTTCGGTAAAGTGTTTTTAGTTCGCAAAATTATTGGCAAAGATGCTGGGACGCTGTACGCTATGAAAGTGTTGAAAAAAGCTACGCTGAAGGTCAAGGACCGTGTGCGTAGTACAAACGAACGTAAAATTCTTGCGGATGTCGGCCATGCGTTCATTGTGAAATTACATTATGCTTTCCAGACACCCGGTAAATTGTATTTGATTTTAGATTTTTTGCGCGGTGGAGATCTATTCACTCGGCTTTCCAAAGAAGTAATGTTCACTGAAGAAGATGTGAAGTTCTACCTTGCCGAATTGGCTTTGGCGCTAAATCACCTGCATTCGCTTGGCATAATCTATCGCGATTTGAAACCGGAGAATATATTGTTAGACGAAAATGGTCACATTGCGCTCACAGATTTTGGACTTTCGAAGCAACCGTTAGACGGTTCTAAAACCTATAGCTTTTGCGGCACAGTTGAATATATGGCACCAGAAGTAGTAAATCGCAGAGGGCATGAATTTGCAGCAGACTGGTGGTCTTTCGGTGTGTTAATGTATGAAATGTTGACGGGCAATTTGCCATTCCATGGAAAAACCAGGAATGAGACCATGAGTCAAATTTTGCGCTCCAAATTAGGCATGCCAGAAAATCTATCACCCGAAGCGCAGTCGTTATTGCGTGCATTGTTCAAACGTAATCCACAAAACCGTTTAGGTGCTGGTGAAAACGGTTTACTGGGTATTAAAGAACATTGTTTCTTTTCTACAATTGATTGGGTGAGGTTGGAACGAAAGCAAGTACGTCCACCCTTCATACCCGCAGTGTCACGTGACGATGCGTTTTACTTCGATGTCGAATACACATCAAAATCACCACGCGATTCGCCTGGTGGTCCAATATCTGCATCGGCACATGAAATTTTCCGAGGATTCAGCTTTGTAGCGCCAGTGCTGTTGGATCAAGCTTCAAACAATTCCAGCCCACTATCGCCATTCGTGCCAAACACACAACCACAGCAACGCAGTTTACCCGGTGTGTTGCCTGGCAACTTCCATTCAGAATATAATCTGTTACAAGAATTGGGACGTGGCACCTTTTCTGTGTGTCGCTTGTGCGAACATCGTTCATCGAAAAAGCATTTTGCCGTGAAAATTATTGAGAAAGCCGCTGCAGCGGTGTCATCAAGTTCGGCGGATTGCTGGGAGGAGGTCGAGATAATGTTGCGCTATGGTAACCATCCAAACATTGTCACACTATTCTCTGTGTACGAGGATATAACGTCGGCTTACCTAGTTATGGAGCTACTAAAAGGAGGTGAATTGTTAGATCGCATACTTGCTGTAGGGCAAATGTGCGAGAGCGAGGCGAGTGCAGTGCTGAGGACCGTGGTGTCTGCGGTGGCTTATTTGCACGAACATGGCGTAGTACATCGGGACCTGAAACCTTCAAATATGATATACGCAAGTATGCGACAGACGCCGGAGACGCTAAAACTATGTGACCTGGGTAAGTGATTAAATTTAAAACTGAGATTAGGAAAATTATTAAATTCCTATCAATTTCATTTAGGTTTCGCCAAGCAGCTGCGCGCAGACAATGGCCTGCTAATGACACCGTGCTACACCGCCAACTTCGTGGCTCCAGAGGTGCTCAAGCGACAAGGCTATGACCTGGCCTGCGACATATGGTCATTAGGTGTGCTACTCTATATTATGCTCTCGGGCCGTACACCTTTCGCATCGACACCAAATGATTCGCCAGAGATAATACTAAAACGAATCGGCTCCGGCCATGTAGACTTCACATCCAGTCGTTGGGCAATGACCGGTAGCGAAGTGAAAGATCTGCTGCGTCACATGCTGCACATTGTGCCGGAAAATAGACCGACAGCAGCACAAATATTGCAACACCCGTGGCTACGCGAACAGACAGCGGGTTCCGTGCGCCTCACGGAGTACGCGATAATACCGCGGCAAACGCCTGGGACGGGCGGCATCAACGCCAGCGGTGGAGGTGGCATGGGTATGCCACAACCCAATGTCAATTTGGTACGCGAAGCCACAGCAGCGTTACGCGGCGCAGTCGATGCCACTTTCCGTGCAATTGCTATACCACAAGCGGCTAATGTGGGTCCAGTAGAAATGTCGAAATTGGCGAAGCGACGCGCCAAAGACCGAGCGAACGTGCATTCGTAAATCTGTATATTTTGGGAGAAATTTGAATGATTCATGTTGGGCGGTTACACGGGGTATCTGTTGTTTGAGTGTGTTAAACGGGAATTTGTTTACCATAAAAACACCGTTAGTGCGTGTGTGGAACAGCAAATTGCCATCTTTATATGTACATGCCCATGTGTATCTATACACTGGCATCCAATGTCAGCGTATTTATTAATAAAAAATTTACCTTGTGGGGGGTGGGGGCTGAAAGGTGGGGAATAATTATATTTTTAGGCGTATTGTCGGCTTCCTACGCACGACTTCCAGTTAAACATGTAACCGACGCGTTGTAGAGGGGCTTGGCGCAAGAAATAGCGTACATACATACATACATACATATAAACCATTTGGTAGTTGTATGTCTGTGCGCATAAAGAGACGAAATTTCGTTTGTGAACGAACTAATTAATTATTTATATTTTTTAAGTACACGCATATGTACATTGTTGAGAGGAAATGTTTAGGAAGGGATATATACATACATATAATATATATTTTTTGTAAAACTACTTACATACATACATATGTATGTACATACATTATAATAGTTACTCATACAAATAATGGCCAAAGTTAAGATGCTTATCACATTTAAAATATACAAATAAAAAATTAAATCTGCTATATAAATACAAACAAGAAGAAAAGTTGTGGTATATTGATATACTGAAACGCGCAGCCAACACAGCTGCTTAAAAATTCTAAAGGAAATTTTCTAAAAGCCGATTTCAGCCACAGTTAGTGTTCGTAACAGTGAGAAAGCATTCAGTAAAATTTTTCCTAAACCCAATTCCCGAAATACAATACAAACTTCTTATGGAAATGCCAAATTCGACCTGTACCTACAAGCACCTGCAGCACTTTGTGTTTGAAAGCAAGATTTTTGCACGAATTTTAATGAAGAAAAAATAATAATTTATTAAAATAATCAAATAAAATAATATTAAAAGCTCTAAATTGTGTATAAAATTAATAGAAAAAAGTTGAATGCATATACATACATACGTACATATATTAAATTTCATGCTTAATTATAATGAAATTGCATTGTGAATTCAACACAAGATTGTGATTTGCCTTTTGAAAAACATACATAAATAGGTATTTACATTTTACAAACTAACATACATACGTTGCATAGCATTAGGATGGTTCAGCTCTTCATTAAATTAGAAAATGATGAGAAATTGTGACATATTTTTTCCATTTTGGTAAAGTCTCCTTAGGCTTTTCAGCCACCTTAATCGAAAGGGCACTTTTAAATGCTAAAAAAAGTATTTGTATGAGAAATTAAAAAAAAAAAAGTTTAGCGAAAGTGAAAAATATTGCTTACAGTGGATTTGAGATAATACGCCGGCAGGGACCGTGCACAGTTATGCAAATGTGACAGTATTCCAGTTCGATAGTATGGAATCTGAGCTGCAAATGATTAAGTAAAACTTCGGTTTCTGTATTCGCGAAATCGCGCGAGTTTACAGCGTAAAATTCCCGGAGAGCTGAACGTGAAAGAAGTTAGAACGTTTATTTATTTTTTGGCGATTGAATGATTATAACAAACATACAGATGTACATACATAATTATATAAATGAATACACTTGTAGTTTTAGCAAATTAAAATTTGACATTTTGTAACTCGGCTGTAATTCGTATACATATTTATAATCGCATTAACGCTTTTCCAACTCCTATATATGTATGTATAAACATGTAACATATAACAGTTAGAATTGAAAAAAAAAAACGCACACACACACACACACACTGAAAGATTATTATTATTATTAAAGGAGCAGGTTTGTTATAGCTGCTGCAAACGTATGTGCGTATGTACATATGTATATATAGTAAATATGTATAAAGTGTGCCGAAGAAAGTTATACATAAATAATATGACTAAGAAGTTGTCGATATAGCGTATTTTAACAAATTGCATTGATTAATTACATAAATATATTGTGAACAAGTTCAATTTAATTACTAAAAACTACATCTGTGTTAAGCAGACATACACATACAAACAAAATTACTTACATACATATACGAACAAATAAAAAAATGGAGAATATTGCATATACATACATACATATGTATATATGTATATATATTATATAATACATATACTAAACATATAAAGCTATTTTTAATTAACTAATGCATATACATACATATATGCATATATATATAATACATATATACAAAAATAAAACGTATATATTATATATACATATATTTAAAGTGAATTTATAATACTAAATATACCTACACAACACGAACTTACCTTACCCAATCGAACATACATAAATACAATTTTTGCAAAGTTGAGCGCGCGAGACTTGTCGAAAAAGTAGAATGTTGAATTTTCTAACGGTTTGAGCAATTTGAAAAGCTGCGAAACTTGTGGGCATGAAGAGAGGTATTTTGGAAAACAAAAGCAAAAACAATAAGAAATACGTTAAATGAATAAAAAACACATACCTGCATACATATTTTTGGTAAAGACAGTGCAAATGTAGGCTACAAGCGCATATATGTAGATAACGTTGAAAATGAATAAAATTTGAAAAAATAGAGCCTACACAAATTAGGTTTTTGAATAGAGTTTAAAGCTGTTTAGGAAAAAAATATAACTGTAGGATTTTCAGTACCGTAACAAAGCGTTTATAGCGCGCTGTCGCACATTTGCGAAGGATAATTGCTTGAAAGTAAGCAACAAATTTAAAAGGAAATTAAGAAAGTTTAAATATAAATACACTTTCAATACAACTGCAATCGCTTGCTGGTCGTGCAGAAAAAATATAAACTGCAAATTATTTTTTTCACATACTAAAGTAAATTTTTTTAATTCGCGCTGACTTTATTTCCTTCTTAAAAAGAACATTTCCGAAACTGTGTCGTTAAAACCTCACCCAACACATGGGTCAAAAGTAATAAAAATTCAACATTTACACGCCAACTGAAATAATTGAAAATTTTCATGAACAAAAACATTTATTTACATGAAGAGGCGCATTGAAAGTATTTTTTTCTGCTGGCACTGATACGACAAACATTTGGTCACCTACAGCGGCTGTCATTTATCAAGTAAAAACAAAAACAAAAGGAAAAAACCCAACCTATGCGCACAAATTGAATCTAATAAAAACAAAAATATATTTACATACATACATACCTACGTACTTGTATATGTAGTAAAGATAAGTAAAAACAAAAACAAAAAAAAAACAACTAGACGCTAATTATCACTTCCTCTGTCGTATCAGCGCTAGAATAAACAAACAGCCAAATAGCAGCAACAAAAAAGTAAAATATATAATTATGAGTGAAAAGTGGAAAAAAAGAAGAAGCATAAACTTTTGCGATAAATTAGCTTCCAAATGCAAATGCAAAAATTAGAATTAGAAAAAGTCTTTGTAAGAATTTTTTTTTTTTTTTTGTTCAACTAACGATTAAGTAAAAAATATGAAGCTACCATTCATACATACATATGTATGTATGTATGTACATTCAAACCCACTGAGTTGTCAATTCGCATTGCAATTATTGTGCAAATATTTTAATTCATCTAGACACACACACACATAAACATACATTTACATTTAAGTGTATACATATGCATATATATATTTTATTGCATTTTACAAGAAAATAAAAAACTCCATATTAACTGTTAACATTTCACCTATAAATGTATTATGTATATTATGGCAAATTTGATGTTTTGTGTAAAATTTTTCCACATTTAAAATTTATCATTCTTCTTTACATTTTCGGAAAAAAAAGGATTACAAAATGAACAAACTCTATAAACAAACACAACCTGAATGTATGTATATCTTATTGTATTATTAAAGCATTTATGTCATACACACATACATACGTACATCATTGTATACTTTATGCTAATTTTAGTTTAATTACTCCAAACCGTTAAATGTATTCATTAATTGAAAAACATTTGCATTTAGATTTTAAATTTTTAGTGAATTCAAGAAAAAGAAAACTCAAAATAAGTGAAAGAATAAAAAAATAAACTGGAACAGCTGCTACTGGCATTTAATTTATTGTTGATGATTTGTAAAAAACGAAATGTATTAATAATAAAAGCAAAAAAAAACACTTTTTGCCGCCTATTTCTCACACAAATACAGATGCAGATGCATACATTTACAGAAATGTTTGCAAAACCGACTTCATGTGATTTAAAGCAAAGAAGGCAGCGTTAAAAAAGATTGTGTATTTTCCACATTAAATATTCCAGATTTATTATAAATTAATTATAAATTAATAACCGAATGAAGAAGAAACAAAAACAAAGCCAATAAAAAATAATTAAATGAATTTAAAATTAATAATTGCTAAATGTTTTCCTTTAATTTATAATTAATTATATTATTCAATTGAATAAAGTTGATAAATTGAAAAAAAAAATGTATATTTCAGGCATTTTTATTGAAAAAAGTTCAGCAATAGCAGAAAGTACTTATTTAAAAAAAAATTATTTTTATGAAAAATCTGCATTTTAAACTTCTTTATTTTATTCATTTAAAATTTAATTTTATTTAATTTATTTAAAATATCCTTTATTTTATTTTTTTATTTCAAATTGATTTTTATTTTATTTGTTTCAAATTGATTTTTATTTGATTTGTTTTAAATTGATTTTTATTTTATTTGTTTCAAATTGATTTTTATTTTATTTGTTTTAAATTATATTGTATTAAAATATTGCATACTCGATTAACTTTTATTAATTTTAATACAATTTTTCAACCTTTCTTATCAATTTCCTCAGATATGAGGTTATCAATGTAGCATTCTTCGCCTATTGCCTTTCATTTCCTCACTCGGCTATTCAAAAGAGTCTTAGAGGTTTTGTGTGAGCAGGAAACGCTTATCACCTCATAAATCGATCATAGACAACAGTTAAATGAGGCATATTATCAGTAATTATATATAAATACAAGCAAAAATGTATGTATGTATATGATTGGTGCATTGTAACCGCTAAGGCAAGTTTCGGCCGAGCTGTTCCACCAATATTTTCAAGAAATCACTCGAAGAGCTTGACACTCTCGAGGAGCGACCGCAATCAGACCATACATTTTTGGGATATAGTGAAAAAATAGCAACAACATTTTTGGACGGTTGATGTTATAACTGCTATTTCCGAAACCACCACGTTTCCTCTACAGATTTCTTTTTCAGCCCGAGCCAATGCTTCTCCCATTAAGCTGCATGTGTGCCGCTTTTACTCATTATTGTTTTTCCCTTTTACCTATAATTTTAAATGTTGGTCGAGCCAGGGCTCAACCTGGCCTTCTGAATGGCGATCTGCGCTGATAACCACTCGTCGTTGTTGGGGGCACCGATTTTAAAGGAAGACTGTGAATGAGCATGAAAGCCATAATAAAAAACCATTTCAAAAGGGTACTTTTCGAAGACGAGTGACTTCATTTCGAAGGCACAGCAGGCCAGTAATCCAGTTGGGATTTTGCAAGTTGAGCCGCTCTAAAAAAGGTACTCAAAATGTGTAGAACCTCCCTTTTTCTCTTAATGTAGACTTGATCAGGCTTATTATAATAGTCGGGTGAGGGAGGATGTGGCTTCTAGGTATTTAAAAATACTTCACAGAAACACAACTTGCAGTGTATGTGGGGTAGGAACTGTAACGATGAATAACATCTTATATTTATTTTTCCATCACTGTGTTACCGTTGTTTGTCTTGTCCGGTGTTGCCAAACACATTCTGCTTGATGAGAAGCGTCGATTTCAAATCGAAGTTATTGCTATCCTATTGTTGCAATACTTTTTTCTCTTAAATTCATAATGAAATTATTTAAAGGAAAAAAATGATTTTTAATAAAACTAATAATTTATTTCCGAAAATTTTCGCATATTACATTTTTATTACTTTCAAATAATTTATTTTCGAAAATAACGTTCATTACATTATTTGTGAATGTTATTCATATTTTGAATTGTATACGAATCTCGCATTTTTTTTTTTACAAATTTTCCGCATTCTTTAATTACAGTTCTCATTTGTTTTACTTTGTTAATTAAACTTATCTGAATTTAGTGTACAGATTTGGAAACATTCGAAAAGTGAATCGGATACAGTCAAAGGTGCTTATAACGCTTGTAAATTATATAGTAAATGGATAATAAATTATATTTCGCATATTGTAATGATTTAATATCTCACGCAACACAGCGCGACATTTCATCTCTACACTACAACATTATTCTACGAATTCCGATATTAACGCGGAATGCTCATCTTTGATTTTTTCAATAAAGTGCGTTTCTTTTGCTCTATTTTCTAGTTATGGTTTTTCCTATAGGCTTACATTATTATTACATATTTCATTTAGTAGAAAATTGTGTACGCCACACGAGCGTACTTTCGTGTTTTTTTTTTTGCTTTCAATATGATTTATTTCTTTGTTATCCTCAACGTTTATCTTTGCGATTACGATTACGATGATGTTGTTGTTGCTGCTGCGTTGATTTATTCGTCTTCTCCGGCGTGTCGACAGTGGAGTCTGTAATAGGAAAGAGAGAGAGAGGGAGAGAGAGAGAGAGAAGATGGGAAGTAATTGAATGTGGTGTTCACAAAGTCATCGCTATGCGTAGATTATCTATCTGCATTGTTTTCATAGTTAGATAATAAAAAATTATCTCCACTAGCAAGGAATTATTTGAGCCTCTTCAGCGCATCGGCAAGCGCCACTTGCACTTAGACGACGCCTTGAAAATACAAATATCGTTGATTATACACCATTGGCAAGTTGTTTCACTCACCTTTTTCCGAATTCTTATCATCTTCTGTACTGTCAGCAGCATATAATGCAGATATAGCTTCAGTCAGCTCATTATCTACCAATTCCACCACTTCTTTAATAGACTCAATATTTGAATGCCGCTCCTCCTCCAGGTCAATGGTAGCTTGTGCCTGCTGTCTATTAACTTCCACAACCACTTCTTCCTCCTCATCATCTTCATGTTCTTCTTCGACATGTGCTTTTTCGACACCGTTTACTAGAAATATCTCGTCTTCACACGCTTCGGTGGCACTTGGACATATTACAGATTGCCGTTTTTGCTGTAGCTCCGCATATTTCTTCTCCCATTCAACATGTTCTTTGTAATACTGATAGACGGGAATCACAATCACTGAGATATCATCGACTGTTGCGGCTGCCTTGCTGTCGGCCAAGCGCCAGTGACCTGAATCGTTTATTTTTCCACGTGCTCGCGCCACTAACTCCTGCGCCACCATTGTGTAGCGGTGTTTCTCTGTGGGATATTTGGCGAGTGTTTGAAAAACGGTGCGTGCCACAGCGTCATTCTCGGAAACGTCCCAAAGGCCGTCAGTGGCCATTACCAGTATGCCATAGTCGCCATCCTCGTTATTTTCATCTAAATATATTGTGGAAAATTAAACCTTTCGTAATAATAAAGGATTGTCACATTCACCTGGAATGCTAACGATTTTGGAAAGATCCCGTATAACCACTTCTGGCTGCGGCGTGAGATACGGTTTGATTTGTGTGCCTGTGTTGATGGCCAATAGATCATGATCGCCAAAGCCGCGTGTGACGCCCAGTGTGCCCAAGAGTCGACTCCGCTTGCCCTCGCCAGTCACCTAAATATAATAAAGTTATTAATGTGATACTTCAAATTATATGCCTTCTATTTCACCGACTTACCACAGGCATGCGCAAGTCTTCGCGTGTCAAAGTCTTGTAGGTCCAACCTTTCATGGTGCCCTGACGACAGAGAATACGTTGGCCTAAATCTTTCATGTGTGGCCGTTTGGCATACTCCATGGCAGCGTATTGTTTTTCCATTAGATGTGGCTTTAAGCGCGCCACTGTCAACAGTCTATGACGCTCGGTTTCTGGCGTGTGATCAAATGAAAACGGCACAGCGAATACTTCCTGTATGTCGGCTCCAGCCTCTGAACTAGTTGCAGGCACAATAGCTGTACTTGTGGTCTTCTTTTCAACACAAGCAATAGAGATTTTGCGTTGGCTCAGCACTGCACGGCTGTCACCTGCATTCGCCACAAACAGCTTGCCGTTAATGAAGAGTGCGACGCAGGCAGTACAGCCACCAGCATCGCGATAACGGTCTCGATCCTGCGCAAGTAACGAGTCCATGTTGAAGAAGGCGCTCTCCAAAGCGCCAATGATGAGCTCATCCTTCGAAACGCGTCGGTGAAATTGACTGGGATGTGGAAAGACACTCTCCTGGTTTGAGTTATCCGACTCACGAGACAGCAGCAGTTCTAAACAATCTACCAATTTTTCATGTAGAATATGATGGAATTGATGTGAGGCAGCCAAGGCGGCACCATAACCAGCATGACCATCAAAAATACCAAAGTATGTGTAGGGTAAATCTGGGTGGGTATGTGTTGGGTCCGATAAAACTTGCCTGTGGTTAATTGAATTGTATTTAGTTCAAATTATAAAGAAAAATAGATTAGCTTATCGCTTTAACAGTTTTAAAATTAAACAAAATGCAAACGCTAACGGAATAATGTAAAAACAGTCAACTGATAAGCGTTTAGTCATCATTGTTGATTGTGAATTTAAAGTTGTAACAAAAGCGATAAGGGGTAAAATATGAATTTGCACTCACCTGGCGAAGGCGGCCTGATCTTCGTTCCACTCCGACTTGCCAGAATTGACACATTCGGCATATCCAGTGCCCCATGGCAGTAAGTTTGTATCGCGTGGTACGATGATGGGACGTACATTGTGGTCGGCAGAGGCACGCAGCTCGTCGATTGTCAAAAGTTGCAAAAATCGTGGACGTGCGTATGCAAATTTGTCTGGCTTTTTCTGTTGATGTGCCATACGGAGCTGATAGTTTGATGCAGCTCCGCTAATATTGCCGCGATGTAGTTGATGGTTGTGCGCTGATGGCAGCGGTGGTATATCTGGTGCGATGACAGATATGAACCGATTTTTAATATTGGTTATGCTGAACATGTTCGACATCTTTACGTTTTGGTGCAAGTGTTTAGGCAAAAATTTTATTTCAAATTTGATTTTAGCACGCCAACAGCTGCTCAATTATGTGGAATACTACAACAACTTACTTAAAAATATTGTTCTCCTCTTTATTTGCGATGCAATAAAATGTAACAGACTTATACACGACGACGTGTAAGTGTCTCCAAAATATTGCCACCGATCGCTTAGCTGATAAAATCAAACTAATTCCTTTGTTGCCTGTTATATTAGTACGTGTTGTATACAATGCCACCCCTGCCTCGCCCGTTTGTAGGTCGTTCACTTTAGAGCTCAATGCGTGTTATTGTTCTCGCCACCTTTTACATCGCTCGTGACTTTGCCACTATTTTGTATTGTCCACTTTTTACTCTGTGCGCCAGCCAACTACAGCCACTTTACCACTACTGCCGCCGTAGCTGATGACACCACGTCCGTGTTTGTTGTTTCGTCAGCGTTCGCAGAAATCAATAAAACGCCACCAAATTCCAAATCGCACTAGCAGCAAAGGACACTTCAGCAACAAATCAATTTTATTTTGTTTCATAAATAGAATTGTTGTAAACGAATTTTATGCGAATTTAGTGTTTTTTCTCTTGATTTTCTGCTTGTATGATTTTTCACTTCTCTGCTGGATAATTCGTGTTTCTTTATTTTATTTTTTTCTTTGACAGAATGAAACGTCAACATGAAATGTCAAACAAGTAGAGCTTTTTTTGCAAGTTTTTCGGAAGCTTTTACAACTATAATTCTATACACTTAGGAGCTTTCGGCTATTCACTTTAATTTGGTTTTTGCACGTAATATATAAACAATTTATTTTCTTTTAAATTTTTCATGAATTTTATTTCGTTTGAGAAATGAGCAAATGTAATAGATTTTCCGCTGGTTGGAAAATTACAAATACAGAGAAGATTTTTTTAGGGTTTTAAATAATCGTTTATGGATTACAGTATTTGTTGTAATGAAGCGATTGAATATTTAATATATATTCGTACATTTACTGAATTTGTATAGTATATTTATTTCGAAATTAATTATGTTAGCGTTTACTGAGTCACATCCATTAATGCATTCCCTCATGTCTTGTCTTCATCTAAATGCCTTTCTTTAATTAATTTATTAAAATTTGAAACCACTTTCTTGTTAACAAATTTATAACTATACTTTCTAAAAAAATATATAATTTTTTCTATAGAAATGAAAGTGCTGAACTGCATGATGTCATCATTAAATCGAGAACTCAAGGAGTTGCTTTGGATCAGGAAAAAGTGGACCAGTATATCAAGGCCATGTCTCTAAATGGAAGTGAGAAGGTGAGTGAATATTATTATTAAAAATATATATACATAGTACATATGTATATAATAATTACTTTTTTTTATAAAATGTCAGGAAAATGCCGAGAAACTGGCTGCAATGTGGATGTATGCGGCTCAAATGGGAAGCTCACGAAATTTGGCGCCAACCGGCGGAAGTCGTCCCGTAATGCTGATACCAGCTGGAAGCACAACAGTGAGTAGTTTGGAATAAATTGGCAATAATTGTTGCAAATTTTTCTTGTAATTTTCTTCTTCTTTCTTGACAGATGCTGTCCACACCACCACCACCCGTACCACCAGTACCCGGTACTATGGTCGTACCTGGCTTACCTTATCGTCCGGGCATGACTTACACTCTGCCCTACGTGCGTCCTGGCTCCGTCATTTATGCACCAACAGGTAGCGCACCCAACGGCACATATCGCACTCATAAAAGCAGCAAAACAACCGGACCTCCACATCGACGCCGCCGTCAAGGACCACCACCACTACGTTCAGGAAAAATGGATGCCAATCGGCGCCAACGTCGCAAGTCCGAAGCAGATGTCATCGACAATGAAGCTTTTCAGTATACAGGGTTAGATCGCGATATTGCCGATAATTTCTTGGCGCGTCAAGAGCAAACGAATAGTCAGCCGGGCAGCCATGTAGACTATTCATCTTCATCGACGACGGCTAGCGAGACGTATGGCAAGCAGCGTTCTCGCTCGTCGTCCAAGACGAAGATTGTTTGTCGTGATGTGGTGATGTAGTATAGAGGCGTTGCCGAGGAAAGAGTGGAGGGATTCGAGTCATTCTGACGGATTATTGTGCATTGATCCGGGGAACCATTTAACGAAAACTTGATACATACACTTAACTGTAATAAATATTGTAATATTTGTATGTCTTATCTCGTATTTGCTATTGTAAATAACTCTGTACTTAACATAAACTTATTATTTAGTTTATTCAACTTTGTATCTTTGCTCCCGGGCAAATAGCACATTTTGTATGTTGCACACTAATTGTAGGTTTCAAATATTGATATAAAAATATATGTATATTAGAAAAACGCCAAGAAGTCGTTTGATGGGTTTTCAGATTGTGTATTGCTGAGGACTCTAAATATTCCCAAGTCGGGTCATATAAATAAAAGGACTTAAAAGTCCTCATCGCTGTGATGCTCCGGCTTACTTGCCGTTTTCGGACGTAGCGGCAACTCCCCAGTAAGTTTGGAAATGCTTATGTCATCCATAGAATTGAGATCAACTGAAATTGTAGTAAATTAATTTTAAAGTCTTGTCTGCTCTAGTTTTCTAATCTACTCACAATCGTCGTCGATGAAGCCGCCTAACTCGGAATTTAAGTTGCTCAAAAGAGCGCTTGGCGGCTGACCGCGTCCCATACTTAATAGACCACCCATACCCAGTTCACTATCCGAGCTACCAAAGGAGCTGTCATCCTCATCATCCTCCCCGCCCAATGTAGCGCGATTGCTTAACGTACTGCCCATACCACCAACACCAGCGTCCAGAACATCATCGGCCGTTGATCGCTGTGTGTGAGCGCCGCCGGTTGGACGACGTGTGCGTCCCGTTATTGGGCGCCCGTTACGTGAAGTTGCTGTACCTGGTCGCTTTTTCATTCGTCGAGCGGTTTCATCCATGAACTCATTATAAGATTTCGTATTACGTAACATAATGTCCTCATCTCGAATGTCGGGTATCTCCGCATCCAACCCGAAATTGCCACGTCGCAGCACACCGCTGCCATCCAGCTCCTCCTCACCATTATTATCATCGTCGTCTTCCATCAGTCCCTCCGGTATGAAGGGCATTGATGATTCTTGCGCCTTCTGCAGAAGTGGCGAGGCAACTGGGGTGCTACGTTTGGTGCGCGCTTCATATTGTGCACGCAATGCATCACGTACATGCAGACGGAGAAAATATTTCTGAAACAATGTTTGCAATTCTTTCTCGCAATCCTCGAACTCTTGCATGTGTGCGGGGCGTATCTTCTGTAATGCCTCCAGCCGCTGTTTGGTGCGCTCCAGCTCAGCGCGTTTACGTTGCAACTTCGAGGTGAGGGCGTTCATTTCAACACGCGCATTTTCCAATTGCGCTCGGCTCGACTGCAGTTTTAGTTGTGCAGCCGCTATAGCATTCTTCAGAGTACGCTCTGCAGACGCCAGCTCCATTAGGCGATTAGCCTGTGCCAAGCGCGCTTCCCTATGTAGCATTTCTTTGGCGAGTAGTTCATGCAGCGCTACGCCGCGCTGCGTTAAATCTGCAGAAAGTTCGCGCGCGCGACGCAGATCATCCAACTTATCGCCAATATCCACCTGATTGAGACTGCGATAGTTCTCCTCTTCATCTTTGTCCTCAGCCGACTGTCGCGGAGCGATCAACATACGCGTTATTTTCTGCAACTCTGCAGCAGTTACAGAAGACGAGGCATACAACTTGCGTGGATTGAGTTTGATGGCCGATTTGGTGACGAAAAATTCGGTGGCGGAACGTATGAGCAGCACGCGGTCGTTTTCGGTTTCAACGCTGCCAGCGAGAACAGCGCCTGGTTCAAGTAGTCCAGCAAGCCATTGCAGCACCTCCACGACAACATGAAACGACGCGAGACTGCCGAAATTATTTGCCAGTGCTTGTAGGGGAAACACATGTGGATAGCCAAGTAACTTAAGGTGTTCAGCGAGGTCTTGCGTTGGGTATTTGCAAAAAATAAATGAAGCAATGAGAAAATCAATTTTAATTTCTTGAGCTTTACTTACCGCGCACGTCCTTGAACGACATCTCAGTTTTTTTGCAGAATCTGTGGCTTTTTTATTTAATTATATTTTGAGGACTGTGAGGATTTGTTGAACTTTACTCCTTAAAGACTTTTGGTTGGTTTGTTGTGGCTAGAAAAAATATTTGTATACCAAATATCCTTTGTGTCCGTTACTAGGATACGCTTACTCAAACAGGGTTGTGTGGCGGAAAACGCAACAAGTTGCGAACAAAATTTGGCTTTCAACCCTTAAAATTTTGAAGAGAAGCTTTAACCAAAGACAGGTTGCTTTTACGTTAATATTTGAAAAAAAAATATTTTTTTTATCCTACAGAAGCCAGCACCAATGACACGATATTCTGACCGTAGACAGCGTGGGTGCAGCTTTATTAATCAGCATGTATTCCTTAAGGCGCTTTCACTTGCCGTATTTACAAATATCAAATCCAAATAAGTTTTTATCAAGGCGCTTTATGGGACACTTGATAGAAATAGACAAGCCAACGTTTAAATAAATATCTGAAAAAAACCTAGTCTTCTCGAAAATTAAATGAGTTCATTTGCCTTAGGACCACCAGGATAAACGCATTTTTCTTCTCATGAACAGCGACATTGGCATTAAGAATAAAAAACCAAGCATTGTATACACCCTGTGCTATTTTGAAAGCCACCACCATTTTTCCATGTTCGACTCCCCCCCTCTCTATGTTGTGTTATGTTCGCTCGTGAACTTGTTGTGTCCGCAATCGAACCTATGGGGCAATGCGGCGCATAAACTTTCAAAACGACATGTGTGAGTGGAGCTCATTGCCCCCACTGTGAGATTCGTTTTCGAAGTTAACATTTATGCGTACGCGGGAGACACACAGATATGCACTAAAACATGCGAAGTCTAAGTCGAAGCAGAATTGACTTTGGTAGTTTTCATTTATTATACTATATATTATAGTATATGTATATACATTTTACTAAAATAAAATAAAATAAAATTAAGGAGAAAATTAATTCTTTATATACATACATATATATTATAATTGAAATTTAATTAGGTTAAGTAAAATGATATAAGATAGATTTTAATAAAATAACAAAAAAATAATAATAAAAAATAAAAAAAACTAAGATTAATCCATTTCGGGATTTTCTACTATATTAAAGAAAAGAAAAAACGGAAAATTCAATTTTAATGGGGAGTTTTTATCATTCAAAAGAACATCCTTTGGCATTTGTTTTCTGCAGTCAATCTCTTTCAACTATAGGCCGCGGTGGCTTCATACGTCAGTCTGAGTTCCTGCGAATGGCGCCGAAGCGACTCTTCACATATTACAATATTACCTTTATGATAACGAGTTGTGACAGCGAACCTAATTTTTCTTCAAAAGATAGAACAGCAATTAACTGCGTTACAAAAGGAAAATATTTCAAACCCTCAAATCAGTTTTTAAGTTCCTTTTTGCTGGGAAATGCAACAATAGACCGCTACAGCAAAAGTTCATCTTTCACCTTTTGATGTATGAGTGCGGGTATCTGTGTGTGTGTGATTTTGTTTATATGCGTATCTGGCGTAGTCATATTAGGGTCGTATACCCGTCTGGAGGCCTTAATAAAAAGGCTATTGAAAGAAGTACCTCTTCTTGGATCTCCCGTTAAATAAAGTAAACAAAATAAAATAAAACAAAATAAATTAAAATAAAATTAATTAAATCAAAATAAATTCTTAGGATTTTTCTGTTTGGTACATTTTTTGATTTTTTTTCCGAATAACGAAAAGTAGACACTATACCACCGCATGTAGGTATTGGATTTACTAATATTGGTTTTGTCTTTTATTGTCTCAATCGCAAGTTTTTGCTTTTCTTTGCTTATAATTACAATAATTGTTGCACTGCACATTTATAATCAATATAACATAAAAGCAAAAGAAAACAACAACAACAATTGCTTCTGAGATTTGTTGCCAAGCGCATTGACTGGGGAATACTTTGAGTCTTCGAATTGTTTTCTCGCTCTCCGAGTGTCTGGTGGTTTTGGTGCATTTGAGCAGCTATCACAACGTGCTATCCCGTTCCTCTCCCCCATAATGTTTTAATTTGTTTTTACTCCTTGTGGCGGTCGCCGTTAAACATTTCGTTCAATGCCATTGCAAAAACTAAAAATACATAATACAAAAACAGCAAAAAAATATTTCAAATATTCTGAATAAAACTTAGAATTTCAAAAAAATACAAAACAAAGTAAGTAAATAAGTAAAATATTTAATGAAAAAATTAAAATCTCGTAGAAAAGTATCGACTTTCTATCGACATCGCTACTCCCATCTCTAATTTAAATTGCAAACGGCATTATGGATTTACTGAATGCAAAGTTCATACCTTCTTCGCATTTACCCTCTTAACATTATCCATGCAGTCTCATACAAGCATATGTAGGTATGTATGTGTATATGTATGTGCTATTGCATATAATATCCAAATGCTGCTTATTTGTTATTAGTTTGTTGTTACATAAAATTATCACACAGCAGGAGTACATAAATACATATCTACATATGTGCATATGTATGTAAGTGGATGTTGAATAAATAAACATTGACTGTGAAGTTGTTCTGCAGATACTTACATGTATACATACGAGTATATAAAGATATACTTACATATTTATATTTTATTTAGCAGCCGCGGCCGCCAAGCGGTTGGTATTACATACTGCCATTCGTTAGGCTCGGGTGTCGCACTAACACCCTAGAAGTTATAGAAAAATTTTTTTAATTAAAAAATTAAGTTAAATTTTCTGATTGCGGCCGCTCCTCGGCAGGGACCCGCTCCGAGTGTACTTCGGACATGAAATAAAGACTCCTCGTAAAAAAAATCCATCAGCCGCTCGGAGGTGGCTTAGTATAAACTGTAAATCGCTTCAGGGGTTACAAAGTGCCATATATAATATATATATATATATATATATATACCTTGGAAAAGTGAGCAACCCATGTCCAAGAGCGCTGTCCCTGCCATAATATGAACATTGTGCTTGGGACTTTAACGGCAGGGTCTGTAAAGACTGTTTCTTTCGCACAGCTATCGGAAAAATCGAGTCCCCGACGGCCGGGATATTGATGACCTCTGCTCGAAAGCGAACTGCTAGCTTTCCGATCTTTCTCACCTCTTCTCTGCACGACAATTGAAAATGCAGAAGACCAAATCCACGACTATCCTTTCCACCAGCTGGAGCAACCCAAAGATATTGGGAGATACACTGGACAGTCTGCATCCCTTCACTCCTCATACGACCGCAACTTCCGCAAAACTCCAGAGCCACAATAAAATACTCAAAGCGCTAGCCGACAGCACCTGGGGTAAAGAAACGGAAACTTTGTTGGCAACTAACAACAATTGCCGGTCGTAAACTATGTTGCACCGTTCACCGATCTGGGCGCCGGGGACGAACGAGGCGCAGATGAAGAAGCTACTGGCCTGGCAAAAGACCGCCCTCAGGACTGCGACAGGAAACCTCGATTTAAAAACATTATCCAGCAACATGTACAACAACGGCTGGACAGGACGGCGTACAGACAGGCACTGAACGCCATTCACCAGGAGTCAGTCAACACCTTCAAAGGCTCCCTTCCAGCGAATGGCGTACTCGGTGTAAAAGCACCACCCATCGCAGACAACGAGCTCGAGATGCCTTAAGTGACCCGCGTGACCTTGGCACAACTCAGGTCTGGATACTGTAGCAGGTTGAACTCCTACTTATCCAGACTCGACCTTAGCATATACAACGTACCTCATCTAACTACCCTCTCCCTTTGGTCCGATTACGTCGAAAAAGCTCGTTTCCTGGATCTCCCATTAGATGACTTCGGCGACTTTGATTAGTGGAAAAGCGAGTATGAAATATTCGGCGGAAAATTTTCAGTATATGGAAACTACGGTTATTTATTGCTTCTAATAAAGATGATTAAAAATGCATGAAATTAAAATACAACGGTTTATTTAATGCCGTATTCACGGTTAATCCAAATTTGACGAGCTCACTCAGAGAACTTACCGCAGCCGTACGTTGGCATACATACCTACTCGTACATTGATATCATACGAATAAAATATATGATAAAATAAATAGTTCGCACTTTGCCATCCGCAGCAAGTGTCAAGAAGTCAAAAGTCAGTGCCGTAAAGATAAAATATATTTATGTTTTTAAATTGTTCATTGCATACGAGTACATACATATAAGCACCTTTTTTTTAAGATAACAATTGTCCAATGGTTCAACGTGAAGATGATCATAAAGAAATGAGAATAAAAATTTTAACGTTTTGTGAAAATAGAATTAAAATAACTGTAACTGCGTACTAAAATAATAAAATAAAAGCATGATGAGGAAAATGAAAATATGATTTTTTTTTAAATATGAAATTGTTGTATATTTTTTTTATAATAATTATATTTTTTAAGCCAAAAAATAATTAAGCTATTCGGTTGCCCAAAAAGTAATTGCGGATTTTTCATATAGTCGGCGTTGACAAATTTTTTCAACGGCTTGTGACTCTGTAATTGCATTCTTTCTTCTGTCAGTTATCAGNCCAGAAGTTCTATGAGCGTGGAATACTAAATTTGCCAGGAAGATGGCAAAAGGTTATCGAACAAAATGGCAATTATATATTTGATTAAAGTTCATTCTAAGTTTTATTAAAAATGCATTTACTTTCTTTTAAAAAACCCGCAATTACTTTTTGAAAACAAACTTTTATTATAAATTTCGATTTTCATGTCAAGTCTTACAATTTGAAACTACATTAAGAATATTTTGTATAATCTTATCATATTATTTTTTTAAGTAAATATTACAAAAATTTACATATTTGAAATACGAGGATGGTTTGTTTAATCAGTGACTTTGTGAATGAAATATTTTTTCCGGCAAACAAGTGTTTTATTACCCAACGGAGTCTCCTTCCAGCTCTCTACATTTTGTCTAGTGTTTTTCCATTTTTGAACGGCTTCCGAATAATAGGTCTTTCACATCCTTCCAAATATGCCGTGTTTCTGTGATGATCTCTTTACTTTGCCATGTTGATAACACACATATTGACTGGTTAATTGTCCTAATGGAACAGACGATTTTGCTTCATTTAAATATTGCAGTCTGTCAAAAAACTCTGAATAGCCTTGACCGTTTTAACAATTTTAAGGTAATCGATGTGAATTACACCTTGGCACGTCACCCGGAGTTTCATCTACGGTAACGAAACGGAG